CACCGTTTCATTAATTGGAGACAATGGGCTTAAGTCTCTGAGTGATATTCACATCCCCACTTTGGCCCAACCCACATATTGAACTGATCATAATTGCTATTTGCAACGCATCTTTTGTTAATTTCTTTTGATTTTCTTTCATTTTCTTCATTTTATATTAGTTTGATAATAATTCATAAAAAATAGAAAAATAGGTCAATTAATTCCAAATTCCCCCCCCCCTGATTCATGATTTAATCTAGAATTTTATTGAATAAAAATATTAGGAAAACCATGCATTTTTATTTTTTGTGCATCTTTTACATTTTATTTGATAATAAAATTACCATGGTTGACACCTCTGTTTGATGATTTTAGTTTGATCATTTGGTGATTATTTTTTGCTTGATTTTTTGTTTGTTATTAGCTTAGACATGTATGCTCCCATAGTATTTTTCTCACATTTTTATGATGAAATTAGGTGTTGTTTTTAGGTTGAAACTTTAGGTGCTTACTTTTAGGGTTTAAGTTTGGTACCTTGTAGTGTAGAATTTGTTTTTAGGTTTTATTTGAGGATTTGATCTCTGGAATTAACATGGTAGAGTCATGATGGACATAAGTTCCCATAGTTATTTTTGTAGGATTTTATAATTGGTTTTAGTATTTTAGTTAGGATTAACTTTAATACTAGGTTTTAGGTGATCCTAACTTGCTAACTCAACTAGAAAGACTTCATTAGTTCCCTTAGACTAGGGTTTTGCTTCTCTTTCTTTTGGATGGTGATGAAGAATTGTGTGGGCTGCTGTGGAATGCATGGTGGAGCTTGGACTTGAATATTTCTCTCCCTTTGGTGTAGTTTTTTTAGGGTTAAGGATTAGGGTTTTTAGGGAGATCCCTTAGAATAGATTTTCTTCCTTCATGAAACATGGAAGATGTTGATCACTTCCATTCCTCCCTATGATGTAAGGTCCCATTGTGAAGGCCTCATCCCTACTTTGGTAGGATGTGTGGCTCTTCACAAGTTGGTAGAACCTTTGAGGGTTCCTTTCTTTGATGGTGGAATGCTTAGAGGTGACCTTTGGTCTTCACTTTGCTTCTCCCCATCCCATCTTGCTCTTGTTAGATGAATCTTTCTCCCTTGCTAGAGGATGGAGTTACTTGCTAGAAGATTGAAGATGCTAGAGGTTGCACTTCCCCTTTGTTTGAGGATTGCCATTGGAGCTGAAGCTTGAAGATCAAGAAGAACAAGTTGACACTTGTGTGAAGAAGATCAAGTTGAGATTGAAGAAAGAGCTGAAGCTTGAAGAAGATGAAGAACAAGTTGATACTTGTGTTTGATGCATTGAAAGCTTGAAGAAGCAAGTTGATACTTGCTATTGAAGATGAAAGCCTTGAAGAACAGTTACAGACTGAGAACTGAACTGCTGTCAGAGGATTGCTTTGCTGTGGAGCTGTAGAAGCTGTTGATCTGCTTTCTTTCCTGTCTGTTTTCTTTCTGTGCAACTGTATTGATGTGACCTATGTGATTTGCTTGATGCATTAGAATAAGTTCATGTTTAGATTGTGTTAAGATAGGAGCATGATTGCACTAGAGGTTGAGTTGCTCCCTCTGCTTGTACTTTTACTGTATGGCTTTGCTTGTAGGTATTCGGTAGAGCTCTGCTCCCTTGCCTATGTGATTTGTGATTTTCTTGATGGCATTCTATTTTATCTTCTATTATTTTTGCAGTTATTCATATCTGGCTTGAGGCTGAGACGAGCTTGTGGAGGATGATACCCCACACACATTTCCTCCCTCACTTGCATTGCATGCATTTTTCAGTCGTTTACTGTTTACTGTTTAAGCTGATGCTTTATCTGTTGTTGTTTATCATTGACATGATTCCCTAGGAATCTCACTTCCTTTAATAAGGAAGTGATGATTAGAACTTTAGGTTGAAGCCTATGCATGATAACTTTTAGGTGATCCCTGTTTCAAACTTCAACCATAGGATGAATCCTTGGCATGACAACATTAGGACTTGATAGTCTCCCCGTAGTTGTCCCTCTCTCTTCTCATCTCAAACAACAGTAAAAAACGTAATAAAGGCAAGTTAGTATAAGCGCGTTACGAGCCTTAAGCTACTTGGGTAATGATAATTGAGCGGCCTCCTCTCAATCGTCTAGAATGTTTAGTATACATCCTTTGGACGATATGCGACGCATTCCTTCCCAGGTCATAGTCTTTAGTGTTGTACAAACTACAAAAAAACAGTTCTTCCGTAAAAGACAGAAAACAAACTTCAAACCTTTTTGCCCTGTGGGCCCATAAGTCAAAGGAAGCTTTTCTGAAGAAAAGAGTGTCGTTAACTCCCAGTTCTACCGCAAACGGTAAAGCCTAAGTCTCCAAGTGTCGAGCTGCGTACACTAAGCTGCTGGAACTATTTGTTAACCCTACTCGATAAAACAGATGAATCTGAATCCCCGTAAGTCGTATTATCCCGAACTACGTAAGTTCTGATCTCTCATACCTGTTGAGAGTACGTAGGCACAATACTGACGTATTGGCGAGCCACCTTCCCCCGTACCCCGTAGTTAGTCGAACTACGTTGACTCTGATTTCTCATTCTCTGATGAGAATACGTAGGCATAAAGTGAGACGCTTTGTCGAGTCATTTTTCTTTTCTTTTTCAGACCAGCCTTGATAGGTAGATAGATTAAACCAACCCGTCAGATAAACACAACAAGCGTGGATCCCATCGAGTACGATGGACGTCAGGGGTGCTAATACCTTCCCCTTGCGTAACCGACTCCCAAACCCAGACAATGGTTGCGATGACCTTGTCTTATACCTTTTCATCATGTTTTTCCAATCGTTTCCTTTCCCGTTCTGAGGGATAAATAACGAAAGGTGGCGACTCTTCTGTTTTGTCGGCACCTTATTTTCGCGGTAGCGACACCTTCCACCTTACTCTGTTGGGAGACAAAACATTGTTCTGCATGAGACACACCATACTTTCGCTGGCGACATCTGACTTGATAATGAGATTCTGTGGGGAAACAAAATCTTTGTTGAACAAAATGTCTGACTGCATTTCACCTGAAGGAACCCTTCGAAAAATTGCTGGGGTGTACGAACCCACATACACTAGGAAACAAAAATCTGAACTCCCGCTAGGGGAAAAGTGAATCATCCTGTACTGCCGTTAAGATCTCATCACTAGGGAGAGCCTACCATCCTACAACAAACAAAAGCATGCCTTACATGCAAAATGGTTACTTTGGTTACCATTCATGATACTGAAGGTGAGAAAAACACTTAGAAGGGGGGGTTGAATAAGGGTTTTAAAACAATTTGGATGATAGAAAAATAACAAAGTATTTTTATCCTGGTTCGTCTAAACTCACACTAATCCAGTCCACCCTACCAAGGTGATTTTCCTTTCTCAACAAGGACTTAATCCATTATATCAAACTTGATTACAGTGTAAACCACTAAGACAACTGTCTTAGTCTTCTCAAGAAATTCTGACCGCAACTTGGGCTTCTTAAGGAAATCTTTTACAAAGATAAACTTACAATTTGTGTTTAAGATGTGCTTCTAAAAAGCAATATCACAACAGTGATTTTTACACAAGTTTTTAGAACGAAAATGAAAACTATTCTAGCTTGAAGAATATTGTATGAGAGCTTGTTGAATAATTTGACAGTAATTCGTTAACCATTGAAGTGATGCTTAGACTTGCTTTTATAGTACTTTGAAATCCTTTCTCAAAGACTGGGCAATCTGCACATTCTAATCTTTTTGTCTTCTAATGACTTTTCCTTTCTTAGAAGAGGAATGTTCTGACAAATCCTTTATGTCTGAAATCTTGTGTCATGCACGAATGGGGAAAGATCCGTTTAGGATAAGACAAGGAATATACCAACAAATCTTTATTTGAACAGCGTCTTCTTCAACAAATTTGGAACGCCTTTCATCAGAACTTCTGATGATGTTCTTAGTTGCTCAGGTCAGAGTTAACTCAATCAAAGTTTCTCTATCAGAGTTTGCAGCAAAGTGCTTTAAGCGTGAAATCCTTATCAGAGCATACTTGCTTATTAGTAGGGGTGTTCATGGGTGCGGGTCGACCCGCAAACCCGCCTACCCAAACCGAACCAACCCACTAATTACCCGGACCCATTCATTTACGGGTATACCCGACCCAACCCGTAACAACCCGTATAGATTTGGTTCGGGTATTGGGTTTTAGTTTCTAAACCCATGAACCCGTTGACCCAACCCGTTGACGTGGCATAATTAATTATTATTATTATTATTATTATATTATTATTTATAAATTTTAAAGTTGCTATAACTTTGTAAATTATAACGTACACAAAGATCTTTTGCACTTTCCTTCCAGTTTCCAATCACACATTAAATTATTATTATTATTATAATTAAACATTATTATTAATATTAATCATGCTTGCTTGACTTATGCACTTCTAGTTTACACTTTACTGCCTTTTTATTTTTTTAATGAATCTTTATTAACTAATAATAATTAAGTATATATTAGAAACTTACTAAACTAAAGACAATACCACTTAACCTAACCCTATTTTTTTACTACGGCAAATCTCAAACGTCACCACTCCTCTTTCTCTCACGATTTTTTTTTCATTTTACTCTCTCACATTCCAATTCCATCTTGCTTTCGAAAATCCACAGTCTATACTTTGACTCTCTCATAGTTTCGTCTCCATATTGAATAAGGTTTTATACTTTTTATAGTTCTACAATATATTTATTTCAATGCAATATATTGTTTTTACAGTATGTACTTCAATAGTTTTATATCAATGCAAAATATGATGATAGGTTCAATGTAATGTAGTATTTTGTTTCATATGATGCAAAGTACTATTTTGTTTCATATGATGAAAATATATTTTGATGCAAAGTCCTGTTCTGTTTCATATTATTAATTTAAATATATTTTGTTTAATGTTGTTTTAATAATAATTTATATTAAAAATTGTTTTTTTTATAGAAAATGGAAGTGGAACAATCACAAATTGTCAGTGAAGATGTTGCTCATCCACTTGAACAAGAGCAAGAAGTTCAACAAATACAAGGAGAAGGGTTGTCATCATTGCCACCAAGTGCACTAATAGAGGTAAGCAAAAGAAAACCCTCTAGAAAACCTTCTACAGTTTGGAAAGATTTTAAAAGGGTTAATGATAAGGCTATATGTAAGTATTGTGGGAAACAATATGCTGCAAATAGTGGTAGTCATGGCACTACTAACATGCATAAACATTTGAAAGTGTGCCTGAAAAATCCAAATAGGGTAGTTGATAAGAAACAAAAAACTATAGCTATTGGAAAAGAAAGTGAGGATGATCCTAATAGTGTTAGCTTGAAACTTGTTGATTTTAATCAAGAGAGGACTAGATTAACACTTGCAAAGATGATAATCATTGATGAGCTCCCTTTTAAATATGTTGAAAATGAAGGATTTAATATGTTCATGAAAGAGGCTCAACCAAGATTCAAAATTCCATCTCGTGTCACTGTTGCCAGAGATTGTTTATGCTTGTACTTCGATGAGAAAGAAAAATTGAAATCTATGTTGTCTGCTAATAAACAAATGGTGTCTCTTACCACTGATACTTGGACATCGATTCAGAATATGAATTATATGTGTGTTACAGCTCACTATATTGATGACGAGTGGAATTTAAAGAAGAGTATATTAAGCTTTGGTATAATTGCTGACCATAAAGGTGAAACTATAGGGATAACATTAGAGAATTGCATGAAGGAATGGGGTATCAAGTCTATATGTTGTGTGACTGTTGATAATGCAAGTGCTAACAATTTGGCAATTGATTATTTAAATCGAGGCATGAGTTTTTGGATTGGTCGTACTTTGTTTAATGGGGAGTACTTGCATATGAGATGTAGTGCTCACATATTAAACTTGATTGTCAAAGAAGGAATAAAGGATATTGATGAATCTGTTAAAAGAATTAGGGTTGCATGTAAGTTTGTCAAGGCTTCTCCTAGTAGGTTGGCTACTTTCAAGAAGTGTGCAGAAGCTGTTGGTGTATGTTCTAAAGCAATGGTAACACTAGATGTAGAAACCAGATGGAACTCTACTTATTTAATGTTGAACATCGCTGAAAAGTATGAACATGCATTTTACCGCTTAGAACATGCTGATGTTGCATTTTTAACTAATCTCCGTATTGAGTCGAAAGGATGTCCTAATCGAGCTGATTGGGAACGAGCTCGTATTTTTGTGAAGTTTTTGAAAACTTTTTATGATGCCACACTTTCTTTTTCTGGGTCATTGCATGTTACTGCTAACTCTTTTTTCAAACAGTTGATGGATATTAAAAAAACGTTGAATAAATGGAGGCACAATGTTAGTGATCCAATTTTGAAAACCATGACAGCAAATATGCAATTGAAGTACAACAAGTATTGGGAAAGCAATACAATAAATTATCTTCTCTTTGTTGCTATTTATCTTGATCCTCGTTATAAGCTTGACTATATTGAATTTTGTTTTACTCGGATGTATGGTGAAAAATTGTCAGAGGATATGTGTCGCTACTGCGAAAATCGGCGCCGGCTGAACAGAAGAGTCGCCACCGTGCGTTATTTATCCCACGGGAGGGAAAGGAAACGCTCAGAGTAAACCTCGCACAACACGGGAAAGGTATGGTCATCGCAACCAAAACCTGGATTCGGGAGTCGGTTACGCAAGGGGAAGGTATTAGCACCCCTCACGTCCGTCGTACTCGACGGGATCCACGCTTGTTTTCTGGTACGGATTGTTATTTCTATCTACACTAAGGGTCAGGGGTTAAAAGAAAATAAAATGACTCGGCAAAGTATCGCACTTTATGCCTACGTATTCCCGTCTGGAACGAGAAATCAGAGTCAACGTAGTTCGCCTACCTACGGGAAAGGAGGGGAAGGTTGCTCGCTAGGATATCGCATCCTATGCCTACGTACTTTCATACAACATGAAAGATCAGAGCAAACGTAGTTCGGGCCACGTACGACACAAGTCTGTCTTGATTGTTTTTATTCCTTCTGAAAAAGGGTTTTTCTGATTACTGGTCCAAGCGGACAAAAATGACGTTTTGATGAGTTCACATTCTTTTACGGAAGAAGTGTCTTTTATTGTGTTTGAAATTTTATTGTGTTTTTCTGTTAGTTTTGAGAAAGAAGAGACAGAACTCTAACCTACGGTTGCGAAGGGAATCAAACTAACCTAATGTTATCATGCATGGGTTAAGACCTAGTGTCTATCATGCTCCTCTCTTGCGCAGAGAGAAACAGAGATCCTAAGGGAACAGACGGAAACAGAAACAATAGCAGATATATACAGTAAAGCAGTAAAATGCATGAATGCGGCAATACAAGCGAGGCAAGGGAGTCCCACTCATCCTCGAACCTAGAAAACAGTAGGCAAAAGTGAACAGAATTCACTTTCAACCCAACAGGTTAAACAGCAAACAATACAGTCAGGGAAACCAATCAATACATCAGAAATGAATAATAGCAGAAAAATAAACAGCCACAGCAGCTCTGCATCAACATCTGACTTCAGGTCATCACCAATCAGCTACAAGCTTCAGCAAGCATCAATCTCCATCTCCACAGCCTTCAAGCAAGGTCTTGGTTATCAGTCTTCCATCTGCAATGGCTTTTCTTCAAGTCTCAAACTCCAGGAGGAATATCAGTCAACCAGATGAAGTGAATGAATGTTAGACAGTCAATTACCTACCAAGGGTGGTTCATTAACTGTTAACATTATATAGACAATTTTCTCTCAAAAGTTCTATCTTTCAAATACATTCACTGATCCTTCCAAAGGAAGGAGGTGGGTATTTTAAATAGACTTTGAATCATAGAGAAAGGATGGATGCAGACAAGGCATTCTATGTTTGGGAAACAAGCTTTCTAATCTAGAGCTCTGCCTATCTCCTAAACCCTAGTCTCCTCAACAGCTGCTAGCAAAAATCTCCTCCTCAACTCTGGAAGTTGGTCTTCAAACTCTTGATCTCCAATGGCTTCATCATCACAAGTCTTCAGCTCTCCCAATCCCCAAGCAATCCTGTTGCACCCCAAAATTTGCCCTCACAATACAAGACTTTGTGTTCCAAGAAGGTTCACAAGGTTCACAAAATTCATAATTGGTCAGAAGAGTTGACAATTCCCTCAGACAATGCACCTCCTAAGCAGTGCATCCAAAACTAGGGTTTTGACTTTAATCAGGCTAAATGGACTTCCAAGACTTCAAGTGAGCTTCATAACATCTTATATGTGTATAAGAACCCCCATGTCAAGTTTCAAGACTTTTCTCAAAAGTTTGCTCAGTCAGATGATCAGATAAGTCAAAAGCAGTCAATGCAGTTAAAAGGTCAAACTGAGGTCAACTGTGGTCAAACCAAAGTCAAACTTCATGATTTTTTTTTTGCCAACATCAAAGAGAGGTTGGGTGAGAAATATTATCATAATAACTGTAATACCCCAAATTTTGCCCTAAGATTTGTCGTCGCATTTCATTGCATTTAATCAATTACTAACAAATTTGTGTAGTCGTTTGACTTTTTGCAGGTAAATATCATATGGCATGCATTTTTTTTCTAAAAAGTAAAAATGGCACAATTGGCAGGAGGACATGTGTAAGGAGTTATGAGTGTGAGAGGTTGAGAGTTCGAATCTCACCTTTGTCATTTTTTTTGTTTTTTATTATTTTTACTCTAAATTTTTCTATCTTTCATTAAAAAAATAACAAAAATAGTTTTTTATTATTATTTAATTATTATTTTCGTATTTTAATTAAATCATTTTTTAAAATATTATTTTTTTCACTTTTTTCTAAATTATTCATAAAAATATCCAAAAAATCATAAAATAAAAAATATTGAAAAAAATCTTGTTCTTTTTATAATATTTTTTATTTTAGGAATCAATAGGATTATTAGTTTTTATTTTAAGTTTATTTTAATTATTTTAAATTATTTAAATTTTATTTTTTCTTAACTAATTATTTAGTTTGGGCTTTAAAATGGGCTTTAGGGACATTATTGACAATTTGGTGTTAACCCTGATTTGTTCCCTATATATACATGTGTTGCCTTGTTGGAAAAGAGGGGAGAATGAAAAAAACCTAAGAGGAGTGAGTGCCGTTTGCCGTTATTTAGTTTTCTTCTTCATCCATTACTATTGTTTCTTTTTCTTCATCGTTTACCGTTATTTCTTTTCCTTCATCTATTACTGTTGTTTCTTTTTCTTCATCTTTTACCGTTATTTCTTTTTCTTCATCTATTACCGTTATTTCTTTTTCTTTATCTATTACTGTTACGTTTATATATATATAATTTTTAAATTGTTAGAGTTTATATATATAAGATTTTTGATCGAATTATGTCGATACGATGTTTGCACATTTGTGTGCATGACGCGTGACATTTGTGTTAGTTCGATCTGGTTGCGATGATCGCATTTTTGTGTGAGCAATAATACTATTTTTTGCTTAATTTCTTTTTCTTTGCGATAAATTTTGTTTCGTCCGATTTAGATCTGGTTGCGATGAGCGCATTTCTGCGTTAGCAACATTGTTGGGTTATTTGGCACATTTAAAATTCATTATTGCTTTATTATTATTATTATTATTATTATTATTATTATTATCATTATTTATTATTATTATCATTATTATCATTATTATTACCATTATTATTATTATTGTTATCATTAATTTATTAAAATTTGTTATAATATAAAAATCTGTTTTTTTAAAATAAATAACATTAACATCTTTTCCAAATTAATATGAAAACCTATTATTTTTAAGAAAAACTTTTTTTTAGATAAATTTAAAATAATAACTAAAATCTTTTTTTTAAAATAATAACTAGAACCGTTATTTATTTTATTTTATTATTGTTCAATTCAAATTTCATTATCATATTGTATCTGCTCCTCTCATGTAACCTCGCGAACTTAACAATCGCTCTTTAAATTCTGCCTTTAAATTTCTGCTTGCATGGTTTAAATTATGACATTATCTCTCTGTTTGCATGATTCAATTATCTCACGCGTTTACTATTATTTCTGTCACATTGCACACATCCGAAGGTTAGGTCTAACTGTTTGGCCGCCGCGCCAATAGTCCGTAAAACTTCACACATTCAATTTCAAATCCTCAAAACTACAAACTACAAACCCTAATTTTCACAAATGCCTCGCCGCAGGCAAAATTACAATTTTACCCTTAGCATTAGGTCAAAGAGCCGCCACGCTCATTTTAGGGTTTCCCGCCGTGGAATCCCTAATTTAACCCTAATTACAACTTAACATTTCAACGTAGAGATTTGGAGTTTCTACACTCCACGTAAGTGTGTCCTTAAGATGCGTTTATTCCCCTTGAGACCTTGACCACAGTCAAGAAGTTTCTAACCTCCCTATTGAGGGGAACTACGATTACTCTGATTCCACTCCCGTAAGGATACGTAGGCACAAGATGCGATGTCTTGCCGAGTAAACTTAGAATTAACCCCCTTTATTATTTATTATTGCTTATTTATATTTTATTTATCTTTGCTATTTAATTATTTTGCTTATTATTTTGTAATTGTTTCTTGGATGTAAAGTTGTTTAATTATTTAATTATTATTATGGTTAGTAATTAGGGAGTGTAACAACATGCATGTAATATTAAAATAAATTTAGATCACTTTTAAATAAAGATAATTAAAATAAACACGTCACACACGTAAGTCGATTTTAATCGCCGTCTCACTTCCTAAGGATATCCCTCAAGTTGCCTACGAATAATGGTTAAGTGGGGTGTATAAAGCAAGTCCCTCAAATAAAAAAAATCATCAAAGTCCCTTATGGTTGCCTTTACGAATCAAGTCCCTTTCGAAAAATGATGATGGTCCCTTATATGTGCTTATTACATCCCACAATGGCCTTCAAAGTCAAATCGTCCCTCACATACCCCTTAACATCCAAAGTAAGGACTACCTACTCCATTATAGTAGGGATAGTCTTACTAAAGGAAAGAATGAAGAATAAGAAAGACCTTTAAACATTAGGGTAGGTTACTCCTAGGTGCTTGCTCACTTCAAAATTGTTTCGCACTTAAACAAATTTTCAACAAGTTTTCAAACAAGTTCTTAACACATCCTTACATGGATTATTTATTAACTATTCTGAAAATTTTCTATTCACACACTACAATTTCAAAACAATTCAAAAGTGAGCTTAAGTACCTAAGAGCCCATGGATAACCATGGATGAAAAGGATGCTAATACCTTCCCTTTTCATAACCTACCCCCCGGACCCAAAATATTCTCTAAGGTCTTTCCTGTTCTTTTATAACCTTTCCTTATGGATAAAATAAAAGTCGGTGGCGACTCTTGCTATCCGCAACATTGTTTAAAGTCAGTTCACCGGGTTACAGAACTGGCGACTCTGCTGGGGAGTTATTTAAGAGGGGTACCCTTAGGAATTAAGATCACTTTAAATTGTTTGCCTTGTTTGCTTTATTATTATATTGTTGGGGTGCTCTTATGTGTGAAAGGTCCTAACCCGGATCTAGTGTACCTTAGGTAAATGGCAATAGACCAAGGAAACTGTACGACGTATATCGATACGGTTGATCTGGTGGCCAT